GCCAGGGAAATGCTTATTCCACTGAGCCATCTCCCCGGCCCCCTGTGCCTGAAGTTATTACCATACTCCAGGTGCCTGGACTTACCTCATCTGCCACCAGTGGGAGGGCCACAGTACAGGTCTGCCTGCTCCCCATAGGGGCCTCCAGGGACATCTTCCCACTGCAGCATCCCAGGGGAGTGGCTGCTTTTTATCTTCTTTGTCTCTCTGCCTGCAGGAGACACCTCATTGTGTCTATTGTCTCCTGGCCAGACAAGGGACAGCTACTTAAATCCAATTGTGACTTCCTGCATCCCTTCAGTGTTCACTGCAGGGGGCACAGGAGGGAGGCAGGAGACTCTGCTCATCAGAGGTTGGACCCAGCAACTGCTTCCTACTTTGTGTCCCCCTCATAGCATTTATTCCCCTTCCTCTGAATCCTGGGGTCACAGTTGTTTGAAATAGGCCAGGAGACACCACCTCCCAGGGGATTTGTAACCAGCATGTCATAACTGAATTTAACAAGTTAGATTTTTAATTTTTTTCTAAACTTCTTCCTGCTGAGCCACACAACCAACAGCCAATCCTGTCCTCAGCCCAGATGAAGTGACACAATATGCAGGTGCCAGCTCCAGGTCTACCTGTGTCCTTTCCCCTAGGTGGGGAGAGGAGCTTCAGAGGCTGGGAGCCACCCAGCCAGCCTTTTGAGACACAGTGCTGTCCCTAGCCCTCCCCACGCCTGCACATGGAGAGACGCTGATTTGAGGCACATGAGGATTTCCAGCCCCTTGGAGCAAGTTTTGAATAAAGACTATCTCATTTTGGAAATTATTTGTCCAAAATCAGTGACCTGCTTTGATTCAGTGAGGAGCAAATAAAGCCGATCTTCTTGAGTGGCTGGTCACAGGGAAGCCACCCGGGTCACCCTGTGGTGACTGTGAACATCACCCCGTAGCCCTGCTACCTGGTGAGTCAGCTGTGAGTCGAGGCTCAGCGAGGCTCTGGCAGGACAGAGGCACCCAGGGGCCGCCTGCCACCCTCTGACGCTGCTGCTTCTTCCTTACCAGGGTGCCCTGAGCCCGGCCAGCACTGAACAGGCAAAGGCTCTCAGGTCGCCATGTGTGAGGAGCCTCGAATTGGACAGGAGGATGGGGAGGAGGCGTGAAGTCTGCATGTGCGAACGCGGTCACCCAGCCCTGGAACACGTAGTAGCTCTGTGTGCCACAATGCAGCACCAATAGATGGGACCAATGAGAGGAAAACACCAGAGCTGCTTCCACGCAGGTGCAAACATTAAATCGGGATTACTGAGGCATGGTGATGGGCCAGCACGTAGTGACACTGTGTTTTAAAAAATTTGTTTATTTGTTACAGGGTCTCACTGTGCAGCTCAGACTCATAGTGATCCTCCTGTCTCAGCCTCCCCAGTGCTGGGATTATAGGCATGCTCCACCATGCCTGGTTTCAGGGACTGGAATGGCAAGCTCAGGGCGGGGCAGGCATGGCATGCAGTACTGGGGATCGAGTCCAAGTCCTTGTGCTTGCCAGGCAGGTGCTTAGGCCTCTGTGCTATCTCCCCAGCCTGACACTGCTTTTCAAAATGCATTCTTTGACTGTGACATCCAGCCAAAATGTCTGGCAACAGAAGAGGAGGCTACAGAAGTCTTAGTCCACCTCTATTATGGAACACTCTGCAGCCATCAAAATAATCTATGTACACAGGTGGAAAATCTTTGCAAGGCCCATTAAATGAAAAAGCAATACGGCTACATTTGTATTAGAGAGAAATGTCCACATTCATGTGCACATGCATGTACGTCAAAGTGTATTTAGAAAGAGGTTTAGAAAATACTATTGTTATTTTTTGTATTTAGGACAGGGTTACAGGGTGTACAGAGTCTCTGCGTAGATCGGACTCAGAGTGATCCTCCTATTTACAGCCTCCGAAGTGCAGGGATTACAGGTACACGCCACCACACCCAATCTCATTCACCCTCTCAGAGTGCTCCAGGGGGTGGGGCCAGCACAGAAGGCCGCGGGGGTGGGGGGGGGATTGAACCCCTGGCCCCTGCATCTCCCTAAGCAGGTGCTTTAATCTGCTGAGCTATTTGGCCGGCCCTGAAAGTACTATTAATAATGTCATAGTTACTATAGCAGCTTCTAGACTGGTGATGAAAGGTTCTCCTTTTTACTTCTCACTGCTTATTTTAATGTAGCAATTGTGATCTACCTTATCCTGCAAAAATTCTCTAAAAAAGAAACTATGTAACTAATCACCTGCTTTCCCTGAAGCCTGAAGGAGGTACCTGTTCTAGAGATTAACAAAGATGCCCAGCTGTGAGGGGGACAGACTCATTTGTGGGAGCTGGATTCCTTTCAGCCACCAAACACAAAAGAAATCCTTCTCCCTGATGACCTATAATTTCCTTTTCCCACATTTTTTTTTTCTTTTCCCTTCTTTGGCACCTGGTTAAATACTGAAAGTCCAGGCCTGAGATCTGCCTCCAGCTTGCTTTCTGAGTTCAGACACTCAAACACTACACTACACACACACACACACACACACACACACACACACACACGTGGGCATGCCACCCACTCTTCCCCCAAGAGATATCCATCTATTGCTAAGAAGAGAGAAGGAGGACCCCACATCAGGAAGGAGTTAGTGGGCAGGGCTGATGGGTAACACAGAAGCATTTCCAGCTGGGCGTCCTAGTGGCTCTCATCTGTCCTCAAGCTAAACAAGACCACTGGAATCCTAAGACTTAAAAACTGGGCCTGGGCCTGCTGAAAGTACTCAGTCATTTCTACTTGGCGTTGCCTCCTCCTCCTCTCAGAGTACTCACATGGAAAGCTTGTTTTCGCTTTTCTGGAAAGAGGAGAAAACATCTTGCTTTAGTTTGCACCAGACTTGCAAATTTGCAGGCCAAGCGGTAAGTCCGTCTCCCAGAGAGCAGAGTCCCGCGCCCAAGCTGATCTAAGCCCGGACCCTTAGCGCTCGGCAAGCACACGCGTGAGATGGGGTGGGGTCATCCAGGCGGGTTTGGTTCTCAGGTGAGTCTCAGCAGCCTGTGGTCCCAGGAGAAGCTGGAGATACTCATGCAGGACTGCTGCACGCCAGAGGGGCCGCCCGGGGACAGGAGAGGCGAGAGGAAGGCCTCCGAGCTGCTCTGCTGGTGGTGAGCTTGTTGCTCTCACCTGAGTCCAGTTTCAGATTGAGGTATCACCTCCATCTTGGAAAATGCCTCCCAGAGGCCAACCTTTTGCAGACAGGGAGGCTGAAGGCCGGTGAAAAGAAAGAAGGAAGCCACGTAAGTGATGCCCCTCAGCTCAGCCCTGTGCCGGCGATGACCAGGCCTGGCTTCTGGGCTTACCCCAAACAGGTTTCTGGATGGCGGGAATACGGACTCATTTTTGTATTTCACGTTTCCCTGCCAAGTGACTTTGTGGCTAAGAACAAAACCATCTGTAAATGCTTAATGCATAAAAATACAGCTGCTAGAACAGAATGTGGAAACGCTGGTTGTTCTAGAAGGAGTGTAACAACCTGTGCAACAAACACTTGATCCTTGCCAGGAGTATAATTAGTAGGCATCTCTCTTTTAAGGTCACTTTTCCCATTAGGACCTTGAACTTGTCGTGCTGCCTTTCTCAGCTGGCTGCTTTGATCCCACAGCATCAGAATAAAGTCCACACTCGCCTCCAGCATGGCTTGGCAGAAGGCAAAGGGGCTTTGGAGTCAAACAAGCGTAGTTTGATTTCTTAACTCAGTCACATGCCTGGCCCTCATCACATGCCTCTCACAGCCTGCATGCTCAGGTGAAAAAAATTCCACAGACTTCTGAGGGTCAGATCAGAGCTGACCTCAGCCTACGATATTGACACGCAAAGAAAGGGAAGAATAATGGCAACCCACGTGCAATTAATGCGTGACTGGCTCAGCAAAATACGATATGTCCATCGAATGGAGTATTATGCAGTCTTAAAGGGGAACAATTCTAACATTTGCTCCACGGATGAATCTTAAAGATATTATATAAAATGAAGTAGACCAGTCGCAAAAAGACAAATGCTGTATAATCCAATTTATATTAAAATCCAAGTTACAGGAAGTGCTTATATGGTCCTATCTATATGAGGTCAAATTCAGAAAGCAGAAATGTAGAATGGTTGTTGTCGAAAGCTGAGAACAGGGAGGTGTTTTGGTTTAGATCAAGAATGATCCCTCAAACTCTCATGTACTCAGAGGTGAGGCGTCTGGAAGGAGGCCGGATCTCTTTCAAGGTCACTTTTTCCGTGAGGACTTTGAACGTACCCTGCAGTCTTTCTCAGCTCTGTGCTTTGGTCTCGCAGAATGTAGAATGAAGTCCACACTGCCTGCCAGCATGGCTTGGTGGGAGATGGACGGTCCAGTGATGGGCTTACAGCTGACGTGCTACGAGGAGGTAGGGCTTTGTCAGGACAGGTGGGTCCCTGGGGGTGCAACCCAGGCAGGTGTACTTCTGTCCCCACTGCTCCCCTTTCTCTCTTCCCTCTGTGAGCAGCTTTCTCTGCCAGTTCCTTCGACCATGCTGATTCTGTCAAGCCTGCTGACCATGAGCTGAAACTGCAGAAGCTGTAAGCCAAAAGAAACCTCTCCTCCTTCGAGGACCAGGGCTGGGTGTTAGTGTGCTGGAGTGCTGGGGGGCCCAGATAAGAAAGTGACGAGGACAGGAAAGTAGGAAGTCACTGTTTAATGGGAACAGAGTTTCGGCTTGGGAAAATGAAAATAGTCCTGAAGGTGGATGGCGGTGACAGTTGCACAACAGTACTGTTACAGAATCTGTACTGAACTGGATGGAGCACGCTCTGCACCAAGGAGTTGGAAGGCAACTAACTCTATTAATACCGCTGGGTTGGTGGGATCCAGATCCAAATCACCAGCCCCTGCTTCGAGTAAAATAGCAACTTGTAGACATTTTGTAAGCAGGAAGTACAAAGTCGATAATGGATTATTCTATACTTGGCTATATGTTTGGTCACAGGTTGTCAGGCAGATGTGTCTGGGGCAGGTTTAGCTAGAGGGGTCATTCATCATGAGGCAGGAAGGTCTAGGGAAATTAAGGACTGAGTAAGCAGGTAATATTAAGTGTCCTTGACAGGACTGTCCTGTCCCGGGTAGATAGTCCTTGAAACAGGCTAGCAAAACAGGATATGTTTGCAGGCTATTGTGCAGCTGGTCAGATAGAGCTGAGTCAAATTGTCTCTGAGTTGCAGCTGGGTAGTTTAGTCAAGGCTGGTTGGGTCTGATGGGCCAATTCTGAAGCCATAGTTTTAAAGTTTTCTACTGCACTTATGAACACATGCAAAGCTACTGGACTACACATTGGTTAAGAATGGTCAAGGGAGTGATGTGATTTGACCCCCAAAGAGTCATGTTCTTGAGGCTTGGTCCCCAGGGTAATGATATTGACAGGTGGTGGGAATGTAAGGGGCCTTGTGGGCAGTGGCTGAGTCTGGGTTAATGCGTCTCTCATGCAGTATGTTGCAGTTGGGTTTTGGGTTACAAACAATTTGTTTTGTGTTTCTGGGGAAGACGGCTGCGCCTGTGCTTGGCAGCCAATGTGGAGTTTGAGAACAGAAGCAAAGTTTTGCTGAATGCTTTTGTCTGTGAACCAAATTGTTTTCAAACAGGCATCATGAACCGACAGGTTACCACAGCTCTCAAAGGGGGGGGGGGAGTTATAAAAGAGGGGGTTCGGTTCCTCCCTCATCTCTTGCTTCTATCTTCCTGGATCCCCTCCCTTTCACTTCATGCCATTTACTAAGTTATGATGCACCAGATGTGATGACCTGGCTGATTCTGCAGAAATTAAAAGCGTTTTTATTATAAAGTACTAATAAAAACCTGGAGGACATATGACAATATCCCAGCACGAGAACTGCACAGGTCACTGAATTCAATCTAAAGAGAAACTCAGCAAGGCACAACAATCAAATTATTAAGAACCCAAGACAAAGAAAGAGTACTCAAAGTAGCAAGAGATAAGAAACATCAAATTTTGAAAAAAAAAATTCCGATTTCCTAGGCGAAACACAGGAGGCCAAAAGAGTGCAGGATGGTATATTTAAAGCAGTGAAATAAGGAACTACCAGCCAAGGTTACGGTATCTAGCGAAACAGCTAGTCAAATTCAGAATCCTGTGAACACTGAGGATAAGAAAGTTAAGTTTTTAATCTTTAGGAGAAAGAGTAATGACAAAATATAAATAATTTGTTGAAGGATAAGCAGTATAAAAATACAAATAGTGAAAAAATTAAATTGTGTGTATTAGGAATGGAATTAAAGTATAGATGTTCTTGTCGTTTTCTAGCAATCAAAGTTGATAGTACCCTAAAATAATCCACTTTACACAAAATTCTGTACTATGCAAAGTTTTCTTTAAGACGCAGTATGATGCACAAAATACTAGAAGTAAAATTCAAGACATCAAAGCATGCGATTAGACAAAGCGTTAGAAGTATTTAAATTTTTTCCCTTTGTACAGGGCCTTGTAGCTGAGAGTTTGCTTTAAATTGCAAAGGAGATTTTAGCTTAAGACATTTTAGTGATGCTAAAACTGCTGAGAGTTTAGCAACTCTTCCAGATGGGTGAAATGTCTTCGGCCTAAAGAGCTGCACGTGAGTCTTTCGGGGGACAGGAGCAGACCATTATGGCTCGTGTGGTCCTAAGTAGGGACTTCTCAGAGGTGGCCGGAGCTAGTGTGTGCGACTCACTCACAGTGCCATGCCAGGATTAAAGGTATGGTGAGGGAGGTAGCATCTGTGGTGTGAATGTTACCTGCCCTTAGGATACAGCACAAGGGATACATAGACACCTGCTGCTGCTTACTTGTAGCCGGTTGCTCGCCGGTTGCTGCCTTTTGCCTGCCCTGCTTTGCCATGAGCTGTTTCTCCCTGCCTTAGAGCCAGCTGACTATGAACTGAGACCTCAGCCAACCAGGAGCTAAAGGAACCTTTTGTCTCTTAATTTTGGGTGTTGGGTATCTTGCCTCAGCAATGAAAAGAGTAACTAAGACATATACTTTCCTGTTAGATTGATCCTGTGCATTATGATATATTCTTTTGTTAAATCTATAATACTTTTCTAAAAAAATATTTGTGTATTTATGTATTTGGTGCAGGATCTCATTATGCAACTCGGACTCGTAGTGATCCTGCTGTCTCAGCCTCCCCAGCCAGTGCTGGAATTACAGGTGTGCACCACTGTGTCCAGTTTCAGTAGCCAGCTCGGTACTGGGAATCAAATCCGGGTCCTTGGCTTAGCCAGGCAGGCGCTTAGATCACTAAGCTATCTCCCCAGCCCTCTATAAATACTTTTAATGTTAAAGCACATTAGCTTTCCTTTGTATAAAATTCCTGTTGTACCATATGTATTTTTCCACTCTTATAATCTTGATATACTTGAAATTGTATTTTCTGAAAACAGTGCATAGATGAGAATTTTTTTAAAAGAAAAATATAACCAACTTTTCAAACAAGCTAATAGAAGAGTGACAATAATTAATACATTAGGTATTATTCTCTTCATAGTAGTTATTCAGAGTACAAGATACAGGCATGAAATACTGTCCAAATAATCTTAGTACCTTTCTTTTTAATGCACTAAGAGAAACTAGTTATCTAAATGTCTTTCTTCCTCTTTTTTTCCCACCTGTACAGCTATCCTAACTATTTTGTATATATTGCTCCCTCCATTCCCATCATCACTCTTCTTTTGAATAGCTTTTTCTCCCATTCACAATATCTGTTGTACATTACGCAACGTGGTGCGTGTGGCCCTCCTTCCTCAGCCTCCAGATTGCTGGGATGACAGGTTTTACCACCATGCCTGGCCCAGTTAGTGTTTATTTTGAGACAGGGTCTCCCTAAGTTGCTAAGTTACACATCCTGGCTCACTTTGGATCTTATTTACTTGTTCAGCTTCTCACACTAGTGAGACAATTTGCCATAGCTAAATCTTTGAAACACCCCAAATTCCATCCACTGAGGAAGGGTTAAAAAAAAGATGTGGTTGTTTTACATAATGGAGTACTACTCAGCCATAAAGAAGGTTACACTTGAGGTTTTATAGGTAAATGGACAAAGCTGGAGACTGTACTCATAAATGAAATAAATAGGTGAGAATTTCTTGCAGACTTTTTGATCATTATTAAATTATCAGATTGGAACATTAAAGACATTCTTTGGAATTTAAAATAACACAGTATGGGGCCAGGGAGATGGCTCAGTGGAATAAGTGCTTCCCTGGCAAGCACAAGGGCCTGAGTTCAATCCCTGGTTCTGCAAAAAAAGAAAAAATAAAATAACACAGTAGCCTATAATCATGACATTACCTTTATTATAACGTCTATATCATACCTCTAACAGGATTAGTGACTTCTGGCTAACATAGCGTGAAATAACTTTCAAAGTGAGAAAAAATGTAATATAAAACTCATAATTGGGCCTTTCTTATAAATTGTCTATAGAATCATATATATGTATATATTGCATCTACATGAAAATGTCTATTATTTCTAGTGCGCTAGAAATCACACACGCAAGTTTGACTTCCAGGAAATAAGGTAGTGCATATTTTTCTTTCCCCCTTTTTTTTCTATCCAGTGAAGATCATGGCTCTGAAAGACTGAAAAAAAGGAGAACAAGTTATCTGTGCGGCCAAGCAAATTTGGTGAAGTGTGCTAGACGCAAAGCTGACGCGAGAACCCTTAGCGTGAAATCAATCCCAAGTGTGTTATTTATCTTTAACTGACATTTTGAATCTAAATGTCTCTAAGCTCAATTAGAGAATGGAATTAAAAATATAAAATTGCAAGGATTTTGAAGTGACAAATTGCA